TTTTTTTTTTTTTTAATTATGATGATCCCACCGAGTGTGCCTCAGCAAGTGCTCGGGTGCCAGTCTGCGGGATAGAAGAAACATTTCCCCATCTATGTTAACCATTAACATAGTTTCAGGTGCAGACATACCATACTGACTTGATACCACAGCCCTCTGTAACAAACTGTATAAGTCTGCCAGAGTAGGCTGCTCAAGTCCAGTAACAGACGCTCCCCATTGCGTCACTCCAGGAACTCTCTTAACAGTTCCAACACATCTGCTATGGTTGGCTTTTTAGACCAACCTCCATAGCAGATGAGATCAGGGGGGCCACACGACACATCTTGCATAGACATGTCAAATGATGTACATTATGTACCAAAGTAACCTACTGCCCAGAAACTTGATCCCAACTTGACATTGTAGCTGATTGGGACCTTGTATTGTGACCGTGAACCCTAGTTTATCCTAGCTGTTCACAAGCAGCAACACATAACTGCATAGTGCAGCCTGAGCGTGTTGACTGAGGTTTTTTTTTTAATGGTTATAATCTCAACCTCTCTATTTTGAGGTTCATTTGGTCTCTTTGGTTATGCATGCCCAGAATTGGGCCCAGCTGAAGCCGTATGCCACTTAACTGTGGTTATTGCGCGGCATGCTTCTGTTATAATTATCCTATAGAATGTAATATTATTCATTCAATTAATGTCACAGAATAATTTTAATTAGCAGTTTTTTTAATGGTATGTCATATATATAAATGTACATATATATATAATATATATATCATAAGTATTTATGCATATAAATCAGTCTAAATTAATATTATCATTATTATTATTGTAACTGGGCAGAGTGTAAATACATATAAAGCGCTTGTGGCCCCCAACAAGCAACCTTTCCCAAAATAGGGACAAGGTTAATGGCCAAAAGCCGATCACTTTCCTTTGTGGGACACCAGAATCCAGCCAGAATACACTGGCTAGTGTAATATCACCAGGTAGAAACCCAACCAAAGGGCCTACAAGTTACATTGGACATCAAAATGCCCAAAACTTCCCTTTATGGGACATAAAAGCCAAGCTAACACCGCTTGGCAAGCATGGCGACTGTCTGAGTGTGTGGGGTTTATTATTGTTGTTGTTGTTGTTGTTGTTGTAATTATAATATTATTATTTATTGCTATGGTTCATGGGACAGCACAGACATCCAGGATACCATGCATATTGCTGCCCAACCTGGCCAAGCCTCCAAAGGTCCCCAGCTTATACTATGTATTATTAAAAACTACAGTTCCCATGATTCCCTAGCACTGAGCCAGGGCCGTTAAAGTGGACTCCATTTGCACTATTTCTGGCAGTCTGCAAAGGCCCTATGACTTGCCCAATATCACCCAGTTGTTTACATGGCTAAACCCGGGTTCGAACCCCGGTCTCCAGTCATAGACCAATGCTCAAACCACTACGCCACACTGACTCTGATCACTTTTTAAAAAAATTAAACAATTTAAGGGCTCCCTGAAACAATCAGGGCCTTTATCAGCTTTTGTTTATAGCCTCCAAAGGCCTCCTGCTTATTATTATTATTATTATTATTATTATTATTATTATTATTATTGTAATTATAATATTACTATTTATTGTTATGGTTCATGGGACAGCACACACACACAGGATACCAGGCAGATTGCTGCCCAACCTGGCCAAGCCTCCAAAGGCCCCCTGCTTATACTGTTTTATTAAAAACTACATTTCCCATAATTTCCTAGCACTGAGCCATGGCAGTTAAAGTGGACTCAATTTGCACTATTATTGGCAGTCTGCAAAGGCCCTATGACAGGGGTAGGCAACCTTTCCCCTTTAAGGGCCGAGGGACTTCAGCTCCCAGAATCCCATGAGCTATTTGCCAAACTGGGACTATTGGCCAACATGGCTGAGGCTTCTGGGAGCTGAAGTCCCTCAGCCCTTAAAGGGGAAAGGTTGCCTACCCCTGCCCTATGACTTGCCCAAGATCACCCAGTTGGTTTACATGGCTGAACCCGGGTTTGAACCCTGGTCTCCAGAGTCATAGTCTAATGCTCAAACCACTACGCCACACTGATTCTGCTCTTTTTAAAAAAAAAAAAATTAAGGGCTCCCTGTGACAATTAGGGCCCTCAAACTTTAGCCTTCATTGGCTTTTGTCTATAGCCTCTCCCACCCGGGAGAACTATCAGGGCCCTTCATCCCCAAGGTGGCAGCCGATGAGCAGAACCCGTCACTTGGGCCACTTCCTCGCTTGGCCAACAGGCCCCTCCCAGCCAGGAGAATGACTGTGGGCCCTTGTATATCACCGGCCAGAGCTGTCAGAGCAGAGCCCTCTTTTACCGGGCCACTCCCTTATAGACATAGCCCACTTACTAAGGGCACCGACCACCACCATCTCACACCAGCAGGCCTCCTAAAAGGTCAAATGGAGCCGCGACCCAAGCCGGCAGGCCACAACCTGAGCCTCAAGCTCCCGGTCGCCCAACAGGCCTCTGAAGCAGACAAGCTCCTTGCTTGTCTGCAATTAAAATGGCTGCCGCCATGAGGCAGCCTTGGGGCTTTATAGCCCCTTGTTCTCCTTGGTAGTCTCACGATAAGCAAGACCACCAATGAGACAGGATCCTAGAAGGATCCAACCCTGATTGGCTGAGCAGCGAAGGAAGGGGCAGGACTTCCCCCGCTGCCCAGCCAATGAAGCATCTGGCCTCCTTTTTTGGCTGGTGCAATGGAGAACCCCTCCCCAACATGTCGGGGGGGATCTTTATCTGTAGTAAACATAAGGTATTATGCTTGGGTCTGTTCCTACCCAAAATATGATTCTTTCATATCTCGAACTGATCAAATAATTTTTGTTTGACTAAGGGACTCTACAGACTGGCAAAAAATGGCAGCATGGGGGTGGAATGGGGGTGTGGTGATTGCATGCTAACCACCCCAACTCCATCCTGATGCCAGTATCACACCACCCCGACTGAACAGATGGCAGGCGGTATTACATCATTTCTGTAGAGCAGCGTTTATACACGCACTGAAGAAATAGCAAAAAGCTGCCACTGTGACAAGGGTGGCTTTTTGCCATTTTAAAAAGTAATGGCATTTTTGGTGACCCTTTTTGGGCTGGCAAATTGCCAGATTGGAGCTGCTGCAAATAGTTGCTGCAGCCCCAGGATACCACTCCTTTGGGGCCATCTTTCAAACCCCTAAGTTACATTATTTGTAGTTGTTAACTGCCTTTTGCATCGATCTTGACCTGTGGCAACCCTGCTGATGAGACATATCCAAGTCCCCATGTCCTCCACTGCTCTGTCCAATTCCTGCAAACTCATACTCATGATCTCTTTAATAAAGTCCATCTATCTAGCATGTGGCCTTGCTCTCTCTTACTTCCCTCCAGCCTTCCTAGCACTATTGCTTTTTCGAATGATTCATATCTTCCATGATGTGGCCAAAGTACGACAACCTCAGTTTAGTCGTCTTTGCCTGCATTGAAATTTCAGGCTTGATCTGCTCTAGGACCCACCTATTTATTCTTTTTGCTGTCCATACTATCCTCAGCACTCTTATTCAGCACTACATCTCAGATGAATTGATTTTCTTTTTATCTATTTTTTAAATTGTCCAGCTCTCATATCCATACATGGTAATGGTGAATACAATTGGTTGTACAATTCTGAGTTTTGTGCTTAGTTGTATATCTTTGATAACTGCTGATTATTAGAAGAAAAGCAAGACATAATACATGAATTTATTTTATTAATTAATATAATGTTAATATTCATATTAATGAGAAAAATAGAGAGAAATTGCCATGTTCAGGGGCCTTCAATTCATCCCAAATTCAGGCCAATATTATCTTTGGATCTTCTTGGCAAGACTTGTTGCCATTGCCTTCCTCTGAGGCTGAGAGAGAGAGTGACTCCCAAAGTTGCCCAGTGGGTTTCAATGGGGGATTCAAACCCTGGTCTCCCCAGAGTCCCGATACACCATGGACCTCCAGGAACTCTGTGGACTAATTATATCAGCTAATAAGAGAAGAAAAGCTATAGGATCCTATAGTTGGAAGGGACCCCCAAGGATCATCTAATCCAGGAACTGGAAACCTACGGCCCGGGGGCCGGTTAAGGCCCTGGGCCCCAGACTTACCAGCCCAGGCCGAAGGTTGCCGCTGTTGCCATCACCGCGCGCCATAGCCATCACCACCGTGTGCCATCTCCTCCACCTCCACACGCCGCCGCTGCGCGCGAGGTGCGTTTTCGGTGGCACATGTCGCAGCTGCCATTTTGGAAGTCAAAATGGTGGTCGTGACGTGTTTGCACATGCACAGTACTCTTGCGCATGTGCAAACGCATTGCGGCCGCCATTTTGACTTCCAAAATGGCGGCCGCGATATGTGCTGTGGCAGCTGTGGCCACGCGTGCTATGGTGGCAGCTGCAGTAGCGGTCGTGGAGGCTGCATGCGCGGGGGGTTCCACACGGCGGAGGAGGGTGCGTGCGCATGCGCGGGCGTGCGCACCGCCATTTCCCCCCCTCAGCTCAGCCGAGACCTGGGCTACGGGAGACTGGCCCAGGTCTCAAAAAGGTTGCCTGTCCCTGATCTAATCTAACCCCCATCTTCCATTTAATGCAGAATATTTTGATTGGAATATATTTGAATATCCCAGGGTTCTTTAGGATAGAGTTACAGTGTGGATGACCTCAGAGGAGGCATTGGGCAGGTCACATTCTCAGCCTCAGGGACGTTATGAACCCCTCTTGTCAAGAAAACCCAATGATAAGTTTGCCTTAGGATCACCATGAATCAGAAATGAATTTAATGCTGCTCTTTTCAGGATGTAACTAAAGATGGATTGATGATGGTTGAAAGGCAATAAGGAGGAACCCTCCTGCATGCAGTCTGACCCCCTGTTCAACATCAGGTTTGCAGTAGAGGATGCAGTTCTAAGGCAAACGTATCACAGGATATGTAGTTTTACAAAGCATTTTAGAAAGTAAGCATTTTTGGATAATAAAGGAGACTCAGCATGTGTTTCCAATTTATAAAGACCTGAGTGGACAGGTCATCCAAGAGGGAGACGCGTTGAGGGTATTCCTTCAGGATACATCAACGTGTCTTTCAGGGAAGGCACTGTTCCATCTTGCTTAAAGGAGGCGGCAGTCAAACCCCTCCTGAAAAAGCCTTCTCTGGACCCCCTGGACAGGAATAACTATAGACCAATCTCGTTGCTGCCCTTTCTAAGCAAGATGATCGAGAGGGCAGTTGCTTCCCAACTCCAAGCTGGCTTGGATGAAACCGATTATCTCGATCCATTTCAAACTGGCTTTAGAACAGAATATGGAGTTGAGACCACCATGGTTGCTCTGGCTGACAACCTCTGCTTGGGTATCGACACGGGTAGTGTGACCTTGTTGGTGTTCTTGGACCTCTCAGCAGCCTTTGACACAATAGATCATTCCATCCTCTTGGATCTCCTGAGAGAGTTAGGAATTGGAGGCACTGCTTTGCAGTGGTTCCGTTCCTTCCTTTTGGGCAGATCCCAGAGGGTGAGGTTCGGGGACAGTTGCTCTTCCAAAGTAGAGCTTAATTGTGGTGTCCCTCAGGGCGCCATCCTGTCCCCAATGCCATTCAACATCTATATGAGGCTGCTGGGCTATATCATTTAGAGGCATGGAGCATGGTGTCTTCAGTATGCCGAGGACACCCAGATATACCTCTCCATGACCCAGCTCAGACTTCAGATGGCATCTCTCCTCTCAATGATTGTCTTAAGGCGGTAATGGATTGGATAAGGAAATATAGACTGCGACCGAATCCAGACAAAATGGAGGTACTAACAGTCACGGGCCCGAAACAAGGCTTGGGAATACAACTCCCAGTCCTGGATGGAGTCACACTCTCTTCCAAGGACTGTGTTCGCAGTCTGGGGGTACTCTTAGATTCGTCACTTCACATGACTAATCAGGTGAATGCGACAGTCAGGAGTGTCTGTTATCAGCTTCAGCTGATATGCCAGCTGCGCCCTTTCCTGAAGATTAGGGACCTTGAAACTGTGGTACACACTCTGGTAACCTCACGTTTGGATTTATGTAACACACTCTACATGGGGCTACCCTTGTGCCTAACCCGGAAACTCCAACTGGTTCAAAATATGGCAGCCAGGTTACTCACTGGTACATCTAGGAGAGAGCAGATTACACCAGTGCTGAAATCTCTCCACTGGCTGTCAAGTAGTTACCGGGCACAGTACAAGGTGTTGGTTTTGACCTTTGAAGCCTTACATGGCTTGGGACCAACTTATCTCTGGGACCGCCTCTTCCCGTACGATCACCTCTGCACACATCAGTCCTCTGGGAGGAATCTGCTACAGCCTATGAAATCTAGGCTGTTGCAGACCTCCCAGAGGGCCTTCCTTGTCACTTCCCCATGATTATGGAATGGCCTGCCGGATGAGATCCATCTTATTACCACCCTTGACTGCTTTAAAAAAGCAGTAAAGATGGATCTCTTCCGGCAGGCCATCCCGGAATAATGTCCCGGCTCCCCAAGTTGTTCTGGTTCTGTCAACTTGCTCTCCTAGCTGCCACTGACTGTTTTTATGCCTGTTTAATGGCTTTGTATATGATGTGTTGGTTTTACTTTGATTGTTTTAATATTGTCTTAG